TCAAAAGAAATATCAAGATAAAAAAAATACCAACTGAAACCTCACAATTCTCGGACGTTCCTAGGATAACAAGAATAAAGAAGGTAACTCAGGTAAAAGTCAATCACTTTAATTAGTGAATTTTTCCCTATATTTCTGGTGTAACATGCTTCAGTGAGTCAACAGAAAATTACATTTTTTTACTACAGACATCTCTCAGCAGTCATTGTTCATGTAGAATAACAGCACGGAAATTAAAACTAAGTGCATGATGTTTTAATAACCTGGCTGTTTAATATATCCTATTCTAAATGACCATTTGTGGATGGCTACATCCCTTGAAGGATTAATGTCTTAAATTGATTGTTTCTTAAATAAATTGCTTCTTCAGACCATTGGTTTCATGCACATATTTTGAAAATTAGCTCTATTATTTCATTATATACCATGAAAAAAATGCATTTCTTACTCGTGAGTTTTATGGATTCCTGAGAACTTGTTTAATGTTTCAATTTCTTCAGTTCATGTAATGCATTTTCAACGTTCAGCTTTATACGCTTCAATCACATTTTATTCTTACTCTTTCCTTCTCTAGCCTCCTAATCTATTCTTCAGAATGTGCTTTTTAGCCTACCATGACTACTACCGACAGACTAACCTGGAGGATAACTCATGTTATTTTTAACCTTTTTCTAAAAGGACTTCCATTCTTCCACAGTCAAGAAGGAATATGTGTATATTGCCATGTGACTGCATATTATTTTCATGCTTTCTCTCAGTTCTCCAGAAATCTTGGAGACAAAGTAAGAAAGCAATGTCAACTCTAGCAGTCATGATCAAGCACCCCACTATTTGGCAGGCAGGAAGTGAATCTTGATGGTTTGTTTGTTAGAAACCAGTGATACAAAACAACTTTAATCTTATTTTCCTTTCAAAACTAACACTCTACAATGGCAAGAAAATGAGGAAATGCCCTTAAAATAGTTGAAGGAGCCAATCTGCTTCCATGTACATTGTTGTAGTTTCTTGTGTAGAACAAACATAATTCCTAACCTCTAAAGGAGGCAATCTTGGTAACTCAGTTATAAAAGCTTCACTACAGCTCTGCTGCTTGAGGTGCTATATTTTAAGATGTAATGTCAAAGTTAATAACTCGATCATTTGTGACTTAAAAATCCCAAGTCTCTTTTTTTTTTTTTTTTTTTTTTTGCATTAGGAGTAGGTTTTTCCTTGGTTTCTGGCTCAAATCCAGGTAAAATAATTATATGTGACTACTTAACTAAATCTTCTCTTTCTGCTTAGCTGAATATGGTATTACTCATTTTCTTTCCTGAAGTGTTGAAATACTTCTGTATACTATTAAAATATTTCTTGCCTTTTCCCTGAGGTAGCTGCATTTCAATGATGAGTGAAGTAATTCCTTCAATATAATAGTTTGTAATTGGTTTGTAAAGGTTAGTATGCACTCTGGGATCTTTCCAAGGAGGGATACAAACAAGTATCCATCATTCTTTTTCTACAGTATGTCATCTCTGGACCTCTTCTTAGCAGGTTTAGAAATTCCATAGCTGTGATTAAACATTACCATGCCACAGTGTATTGAAGCAATGTCATGATGTAAGGGCAAGAATTTTCATCAGTCAGTAGGGAAGCAGGGAAGTGAACAAAGATTCAAACTATTCACTGTAGACATGTAAAAGAAAGAGAAATGTGTAAAAAATAGCACTCACTCGTGTGACAGTATCTGTGGAGAATGTGAAGTGGGAAAGATTTGTTGGTGCAGATTTTTACAAGCATATCATGCAGGCTCCTATTCACTGATGGTGAAAATGCACAACTAATGGTGGTGACTATGTTGTAAAACAGTGTGTTGTAGCCAAGAATTTGCTCTGTCAAATAGTGTTAAATTGTGCTGTTCATATCAGTTGTAGTGGAAATAAATAGGAGGCATTAGTTTCAGAGTGACCTATGCACAATTAGAAAGGTAAACGTAATTGGGAAACCTGACACTTGGAAAAAAAGAAGTACCTAATGAGTAGAAATGTGAAACATCCAAGTATTCTTCACATGAATAGTTGCAAAGTTCTTCACTCAGTATTCAAGGAAGCAGTAAAAATGTTATAGTACCTTTATCATCAAAGATGTTACTGCTTTGTGACTTTTGACTATGTTGCTTCAGGCATGTCAAGGAAAATAAGCTTTCATGACCAGGGAATAATTTAACATAATTAAACAAAGGAGAAACAAAAGCAGGTCTATAAGCAAACCTCACAACTCTGAAATGACAAGCTTTAATAATTACAAGAGTAATTGATTGAAATAAACCATGGACCGAATTTCAGCATGTGAGTGTGGAAGGGCCTGAATTGCTTTGAGTCAAAAGGGCTGAAAATATTTGATGGTGGTTAAAGTTTCTAGATATAACACAAAGTGTCAAAAAGTAAGAGAAAAAAGATTGATCAGTAAGAATGCTATGCCTCAGAAGCAAGAAAATACAATGTAAAGTGAGAATTGTTAAAATCAATTGAACCATTCTCAATGAAGATACTAAAATACAAAGCAAAAGGTTTTGTACACGTGTTGAGAGAACACAAGAAGGAAAGAAGCAGGACCTCTGTACCACTAAGCTGGCTTAGTGATTAAAAACAGACAGATGATGATTTTGGCCATGATGGTCACAGCAGTACATCTTACTACATTACTGCAGTGTCTGTCTCCATTTCTAAAATAGAAAAATGAAACATAGTGAATTTACTTAGACTCCCATGAAGCTTTTGATGTGGTGTTATGTGGAAAAGTATATACTAAGCTGGGGATGATGGCATTGGCAGAGGAAACATGAGGTGAACAAGGATCTAAATACAGATGATACAGCCATACATCATACTGAAAAGGAATAGTATCAAGTTAAAAGTAAGTCCCTAATGCTGACTTCCTTAAAGATTGTTCTTGGGGCTGAAATTACTTAATGTTTTTACTGTCGTCATTGCCACCACTCTGATGACAATATGTAGTCAAGAGACCAGGACATGAACAACAGACTCTCAAAGTGGACTAATAAAACAATAAAACCCTACAGAATTCTTACTTCATAATCAGTTATCTGGAAACTATTGAGGAAGAGCTTAGGAAAAACAGATGAGCACAAAATGTTTAAAAACAAACAAACAAACAAACCCTTTTGCAAGGAAAATGCAAATATGATACTGAGGTATCCCAGAAGAGACGAAGTAGCCACTGTACTTCGTCAAGCACCACTAAGGGATTACCCTTAGTGGAATATTTTGTACATGTAACATTCAGTGTTAAGTCAAACTTGAATCCTTACACAAAGTACGAAAAGATGGTAAGGGAAATTAAGAGAACAGGAACCTTCTTATTTAGTCAAGCAGAACAAAGCCTGATGAGAACCTTCATTTGTCTACAAATCTATCAAAGAACAACTGTGAACTGTTTAAGCTGATACAACTGCCAGAAGAATAAGTGAGTATAAAGCCTATCACCACCACCTTAACACTGGGAATTACAAGGTTACTGTTAGAGCAGGGAAGTGTTTGGAATGAAGTGCCTTTCATTAGAAATACTGACAGTTAAGAAACCTAGCTCCTTTTATGAACACATTTGTTCACTTTAAGAAAAATACTGAAAAATGTAGTTGCCTGCTGGATTCCACTGATAGAGAGATTTCTTCCAGCCTATTCTTAGCAGCACCGGCCTTGCAGTATTCTTGCTGTCTCTGCTTCTTCACATGCATAGGAACAGGGACACTCACAGGTCCAGCACAGGTCTACATCTCATCTGGGACACGGAAGGCCAGAAGCCATGGAACATTTGAGAATTTAATGACTGAGACCACTGAGGGCTGACAGGCAGCTAGGAAGGTATGGGTTAAGAATTGCTGTGTGAGAGAGAATAGGCACCCAATTCCAAATAGGACAGGGCCACACAGCTCAGCTAGGGTAAACAAATGGCTATGATCCTTGTCAAGAACAATTTTTCATCTCTGTAAAGCTCAGTTTAATAGCATGGCACAGGCACCATTGAAAATGAGAATATTAACTTTCCAACAATTTCCCCAAATTGAAATAGAATCTGTTTTGGCAAAAACAGTATAGCTGTCTACCAAGAAAAACATTTTAGGTAGTTATATAAGCAATAAAAATAAATGTTTTATAAAATTCACCCAGAAGGACTTATAAGTATTAAAACAAACAATAATAATTAACCAGATTTCATGAACTATTGAACAGCCAAAACCAACAACTTGTACAGCTGAAGATGGTGAAGTCATTCCTTCTACTGCAGTCCAAAGCCTGACCACCTGTGGAGATTTTAAAAATATATCCCAAGAATTAATTTTCCTAATATGGACAGAGAGGAAAACTCTCTCTCTTAGCACAATTTCGTTTTAACAAAGTAATAGAATTTTAAACTTAATATGTTTTATAAGTACTTGTTTCTCTGGTGCAGAAGCAAACTGCTAGGAAGATGAATGAAATGAAGGAGTATCCAATGAATGCCCTTTTGCATTAAAAACCCCGGGGCCATCTCCAGTCAAGCTCCACTCACTAGTGCTCCTTGAAGCAGCTTCTCTTTCTCAACTGATGAAGAAAACATAGAAAGAGTTTCTAACAGAATTATCACAGTTATCAACTGTAATAATTTTTCTAGGCATCAATCAAGGAACTTCCAGAAAAGGAAACTTTTAGTACCTTCTCACAGACTGAGATCTCATTTACACTCTATGCAGACAACATGTTGAAAGACTGAATGATTTACCACAGTAAATTTGGGTCAGAGCAGGGTTAGGAGGTAAATTAGAAGGAAAAAACTGTTAATTTTGTTGGCAAAATAAAGGTTGAGATCGCTTATGACAATACTTCTAAATATACTTGATGGAATAAATTAAGGGAAAACAATGTTTCAAATTAAAAGGTAATATTTGTATAAGATCGAGTCCAGGAATAAATTTGCTCTGGAAATTGAAATTATCCAAGTTTCTAGAACTGTTTTACATGCTACACAGTGGTGCAAGGAACCTAAACTCTTGTAAGACAGAGCTTGATGATTTCATTTCTGTGGTAGGACAAAAATGATCCTTGAGTCATAAACTCATCTTTGGATCTGTGGTTACTGATTTCTGGATATCTGCTTGTTTTGACATAGCACAAAAGTGTGGGGTGAAAGAGTTTACCAGCTGATCATACTGGTGCATGTATTTCTGGTATATTAATTATGCCTCCCCCTAATTTCTGTTGATTATCTGAAAAAGCATTGGTTTTGTGAGTAGAATAGGGAGCTGATTTTACTGGAAATGTTGAAGGTGGGCCACAGAAAAAGGCAGATATAAGGTAGGCAGCACTAATGCTGAACTATTAGCCAAGTCTTCCAGATGCCTCACTGGCAGGTGTTAAAACAGTGAAAGAGACACATCTCAATCCTTAAAGGTCCTTAATTCATCACAGATTAATCCACCAGACTGCATTATTTTGCTAATTTTCCAAGAATCAGTGCGTTTTGAAATGGTTATAAAAATGCTTTAAGATTCTAGCCCCTTTGTTAGCTCCTCGCATCTCCTTCATCTAGGTGTCTGTTTTCAGGCTTTCAGAACAGGAGGGTTTGGCACACACACAAAGGGACACATTTCATGGTGACCAGAACTCTGACCCTCCTTCCTCTATTTGCTATCGAAAGCAAATTGCTCTTCTCCTGATCTCTGCCCTGAAGCTGCCCTCTATTCCCAGCTTTGTAGGGCCTCATTTCTGCTTGAAATTGGGCGTTCATACGGCTGGACCTGAGGCTGCTGACAAGAATCACGGGCAGATCCTTAGAGACAAACTCATGTAAACACGGAGTGGCAATGTCAATCTTTCTGCTGTGTTCTTTGCTGTAGAACTACCGCTCGCGGGCTTCACCAGTGCCTCTTTCGCTTGGCTTCCCGCTAACTGTGGTGCAGAGCTATTTCTCTGGAAGAGCTCTGAGAAGCTAGAAACTTTCTAGGCTATGCTGGATCAGACCCTGGGCAAGCCGATCTAGCTGTGGTGTCCCTGCGCATTGCACGGGAGCTGGACTAGGTGGCCTACGGAGGCACCTTCGAACTCTAAGGATTCTATGATACTAAGCTGGTGCAGGTCCCGGACTCGTGAAGATTCTTAAAGTGGATCACGAAACCAGCCAGTCTCACTGATCACCGCTCCGCGGAGCCCGCGGACATCCCGCTACCTCCCGCCCGCTGCCTCAGCAGCGCTACGCGACCGCCAAGTGAAGTTCAACAGAGCTGATCTGAGGACGGGGCGAAACCTACGCTCTCCCATTGGTGGCGCAGGCCTTGGCCCCGCCTCCCTTCCCTTCCGCTGGCCGGGACGTAGGGAGCGAGTGAGCGCATGCGCGATCGCCCGAGCGCCGATGGCGGCGCCCGCGGTCCCGACGCCGCGGTACGAGCATATGGGGCCGCGCGGCCCGTATCGGGACGTGTACGAGCCGGCCGAGGACACCTTCCTGCTGCTGGACGCCCTGGAGCGGGATGCGGCCCAGCTCCGGCAGGCGGGGTACACGCGGCAGGCGGCTGTGGGGACGGCGGGGCGGGGCACGTGTCGTAACACAGCCCTGAGTGGTTGTGTGGCTGCCGGAGGGGCTCGCGTACGTCACCAAAAAATCTCACCCGGAGTTTTGTGTCTTTAGGATCGACATCTGCCTCGAAGTAGGGTCTGGGTCTGGTGTGGTTTCAGCATTCCTAGCTTCCATCATTGGAGCCAGTGCGCTCTACCTGTGAGTATAACAGCGAGGCTGCTGCACGAAGGGTGCCTAGACCTCGCCGTGTGCTCGTCTCGCTTTAAAGATTCCCCTTTCCGTAGAGAAATAGCACGTCAGTTCTGCGGGGGATAGTCAGACTGAAGAGAGCCTTATCTGTTCACCTTAGATTGTGTACCCGTTGGGTAGAAATATGGCTTGAATTCAGTTTTCCCACTCCTTAGACGGTGATGACACATCAGGTTGTTGGTGGTTAACTGAGATTTACTAGGGAGTGTATGTATGTATGTTTACATACAGAGCTGGTATTAAAAATATAATGATTTTAAATGCTTATTTGCACATACTTCAGCTTTCAAACAGTCATTAAGAGCTCACAGAATTGAATTGGAGGGGACCTTTAAAGGTCATCTGGTTCAACTCCCCAAATCCAGCTTCCAGTATAGAACTGAGTGGTGTAGCTGCTGATACACCTAGCTATTTGTCACTATTTCTTATAAAGTAAAGGCTAATCTTGAGATTGCCTTAGTCAGCATGCAGTTTGTGGAATTAATCTTGCAGATACAGGAACCAGTAACTTACAGTGTTTTGTTTTAAGATGTACAGATATCAATCCTATGGCAGCTTACTGTACGCTGGAGACAGCTCAGCTGAACAATGTTCACCTTCAGCCAGTCATTACTGACTTGGTAAGATAGCTTCAGTAATAACATCTTGATAGTTTTTGTAATTTTCTTTGTAGTTTATAACCACAAATTCCAGAATAACATTCTCTTGATAAGCACAGAGTAAAAAATGATGAACTACTAGAGTGCAAGAATAAAATACTACCTTTGTGTCTGTATGTGTATCTCTTGCTGTTCTGTATCTCACGTAACACTGTTTTAGGAGTACTGTTCTGCTTCTCTTGCACATAGAAAGTGTTTTGGTGTTCCTGAGTCAGGCTGAAGTGATTGAAACTAAGCCAAAGTTGGCAGCATGCTATGCTCAGAAGAAAGCAAAGTAGATAAGGATCTACATGCAGTAACCCAGTTTTAATGACCTCACACAGAACGGACAGAAGGACAAGTAGCTTGTTTTCTAGAACAGCAATAGAGTGATATTACACAGGTTTGGCAAATATATGAAATTTAGTTTATCATCTCATATAAAACAACCATATTCAGAATTGCAGCAAACTTATTAAATACGTCCTGATTATTCTTAGGTCACCCGTGGGTCTGAATTCTCATCGATTAACTCATTTGCAACTTAATGGCACACCCTCTGCTATTTATTAATTTATTTCAATTTTGTCTGTGTGGCAGTTTATATTGATAGGAAAATAGCCAGCACTATGTAACTGTATGCTTACAAAATGGAAATAAGTAATAGTAAAAAAAATAATAATAATACTAACATAAGAATTAATTATTTCATCTCTAGGTCAAAGGACTGTCACCAAGATTAAATGGGATGGTTGATCTACTGCTCTTTAATCCACCATATGTGGTAACACCCTCAGAAGAGGTAGGAAAAAAGATGCAAAATCCGCAATAAATGTTCTATTTTTGCTGTCAGGGTAGCTGGCAAATCAAATCAGCTGAGGTATGAGAACTCAGACTGTAATTTTTCAATTACCTCTGACATCTTTGTTATTCTGTATTGAGGAAGATGATTTTTGTTTTCCTTCTTTCTAGGTGCAAAGCCATGGAATAGAGGCATCCTGGGCTGGTGGCAAAAAGGGCAGAGAAGTAATGGACAGAGTTTTTCCATTAGTAGCAGATTTGCTTTCAGCAGGAGGATTATTCTACTTGGTCACAATTAAAGAAAATAACCCAGGTGATCAGTTTCTTTGGACCCTTTTGGACCCAAACTGTATTTAACAGCATTAATCAAATTGTTGATCACAACAATGCTCTGGAGGCTATCAGAACTTGGTAAACAAGAACAAAGTAGTACAGAAGTCTAATCTATTGTAGAACTAGCACATTATTTTGACTGTGTGGATTGAAATTTGAATATGTATTCTAGGCTATTTGTTAGAAATGCAGTGGCATATTTGCATGCCACATGCAAAGCATGCCATTTGTGTGGACTCGTGCTTCCATATTTGTGTGGGTGACTAAACAGCAGAGTGACTTTTACATAATCTGATGTCCCTTGCTGTCCATTTTCTGAATTTATGGCTTGCATATTCAGCATATGGTGAATTAGACCAGAACTTGTTTTACCAACACTAAGAACTCTCTAGGCTACTTAGGAAAACAGTAGAATGGAGAAACTGTAGTATGCACATCCCAAGCCCAGCAACTCTGGACGACTGCAATTCCAAGTCTGAAATCTTCTGAACTAGGTAATGAATCCAGGCCAACCCCTTCTTATAAATGTTGTAAGTGTTGTAAACTCAAAGGCAAAATCTGACGGTTGGCAATAAGATGTTTTTATTTCTGAATCTTTTCTTTACACAGGTCAGAGTTGCTCCTTCTGACCTAATGCTTAATGGGTTGTACGCTATGAAGGGGTTTTGAGAAGAACTGTAATTCAATTTGGCATTATTGATTGTTATTCCTAATAACAAAATACTGAACTTTGTTTAGCAAAATGTAAACTTTATTTGTTCAGGGTAGAAGACTACTTGTTGTCTAAAAATTACTGTCTAAAATAACAGTTGTAGCTCATGTTTAGCAGACACTTTAGTATTGCTTATTATAGCTGACTTCTCTAAAAACTTACTGTAATGCTGCACTTTTCATTATAGATGAAATTCTGGAAACAATGAAGAAAAATGGCTTAGAAGGCACACGACTGCTTTCCAGACAAGCAGGACAAGAGATGCTTACTATCCTCAAATTTAGGAAGCCTGAATAACTGTTTTTGTTATATATACTAGGCATGCCAAAGGTTGGATATAGAGTAAAGTTGTCAAATCATTTCCTAAGTCAGATTTGGACCAAGTGCATCCTCACTTCCTCATTATTGCAATGAAACTGATCAAGACTGTCCTTATTTTTATTCTGGATGTCAACCAGCTTTTATCTGGTTGTCAGGTACAGCTGTTCTCTGGCTAACTGCAGGAGAGGTGTGAGTGAACTGGAAGATACCATAACACATCATGTTTTGCACTTCGCTGCTTTTACAAGTAGGAATTTGTGTATTTATTTTTTTGGCTTATTGAAAGAACATACGTATTTGATGTAACTTTTCCTGTTTTAATAGCTTCTCTGTTCCTCTGTTTGGTTTAAATGAAAATTTGGAATCATGTTACTCATTTTGATGTAATACAAGGCACGGCTTTCGTAGAAACTGATCTTTAAGGTTCTGTGTTAACAGAAACTTTAAATGATTAGTTAGCTTTTTTCATGGGGACTAAAGTCATAATTTTTTGTTTGTTTTGTCAGTTACTAAGGCATTAGAATAACTGTTCTATATGACTTCAGAGGCAAGCATATAACTCTCTACTAATCTACCTGGCGAAAACTTTAGAAGGTTTTTCATCGTTGGAGCTGACCACCCAAAAAAGCTCAGCTAGGAGACTGAAGAAGGGTTTTGGACAAGCAGAACACCATGAAAGAAATTAAAGTGTAGGGCATGTTAGCAGAAACACACAACTGCAAACCTAGCTAGACCACCTGAGGATGAGACATTTTACTGCAAAGTAATGTGGGAGGCTACTTTTTGACTGATACAGGTCAGAAGTTGATATTTCTCAGGCAGAAAGCTTATTCCTTGTACTATGCTGAAGAGCATACAGTACTAGAGAGCAGGCAGTCCACAGTGGTGATTGTTCTACATTCCAAGATCACTATTCCCCAACTCAGAAGACTATGGAAAAACAAACACTGTGATTCAATTCAAGCACAGCTAATGCATTCCTTTCAGATAACGTGGGTTTTTTTTTTTTGTCAATATGATTTTATATAGATTAATATAAATGTGAGCACAAACACCCGGAAGGAGAATTTAGACAGAAGATTCAGTTATGAAAAGGATATTACCCATTGTTTGTTAAGTACAAGAATCCCTAAATAACAAAGTGAGTCTCACTGACCAAAGTGAAGCTACAGTTATCTTTGATTCTTAACTTCAGAATACCTTGTCTAAGGAATGCCAAACTGAGATGAAAGTTTGTGACCACCTGTGAAATAGCAATTCCATAGTCTCTTTCTAGTGATGAATTTAAGCAATTCATGTTCTTGCAATTTACCTCCTTTAGTGTAAGGAGGGGAGCTTCTCATTGATATTGCTTTTATGCAGAATTGTTTTTTTGGTGTTATAGCTGTAGTGCTGTTCCTCCTTAAGATTGCTCTGTGGGCTTTCTTTTGTTAATCATTTTGACCAAAGTAAAGTTGCTGTGCAAAGGTCATGACATCAAAAAACAATTTTAAGATGGAGTTAAAATATATAATGGAATCAAACTGCAAGTTTAACAAAGGGAATTTTTAGTTCATCTGACTCTGAGCTGTAATTTAAAAATTAGCTTAAAAACAGGTAATCAAAAGAAAAAAATGCAGTTAGCCCTTGAGCATGTGGTTTTAATACAAGTTATAAATGACAATAATGGATCAGAACACAACATGTAATAAAACAACACGCTTTCAACAAAAACAGATCACAATGGACTATCTGGCAGCTGGATTTCTAAACAAGGAAATAGATGTGTCCACTTAAATAATGAGTCAGTTCTCCTGGCCACAGTGTACTGGTGTCAGCTGCAACTTTTGTGGAAGAATTTTTCAAAATGTAGTCCAAGGAAGAACATGGGCAAGTTGTTTTTTTAAGACTAATTTTTTTATGCTACTATCATCATCCTGCTGTAGACTGGGAACTAGTGACGGGCAAAAACTATTTTTTCCCCTGAACTTTGAAATTTGCTGTATCTACAGAGATGACTGCATAGGCACATAACATTTGCCAGGGCACACCCATTGCCTTCTAGAAGACTAGAGAATTCAATACTATTTCTGAAAAGTTTGGAAGGAGCACCCCTGCATTCACTGCATGAGAATAAGCTGCATGGCAGATACAGACTATGTATGCAGTGCCAAACTTAGCAAGAGGAATACAAGAATTCTGTTCCTCAATATTCCTACGGATTGTTCTGTAAGAAACAGAAAGCTATTATTCAGATACAGATAGTGCCATATCAAAAGACCTGCCAGCACTTGCACTTGGTCTGTTAGACAAACTAAACCAATTAGACTCATAGACATTTTCCAAGTTTGAGCCTGACCGAGTAAATTAACGTGGCTCTTTTCAAGCAATACCTGGTTAACATCAGTTGGCCTTCAAAACAGTTATCAAACTTGCAATTAAGTTAGTCTTATCTGAAACAGTGATACAACAGACACAATAACCAGAGTTTCAGTAATTAGGAAAATAATGCAGCTTACTCCTTTAGCCTGTGTTCCCAGTTAAGCCTTTTCAATATCAATTGTGAACAATTCCCCTTCTCTCTCAAAAAAGTTTTAAAAATTTCTCTTCTGAAAGCACTGTGGTATCTGCTGAAGACTTAACAGTTAAGAATTACTTCTAAGGTTGTCATCTCAAAAGGGACCAACGTTGAGTGAACAGAGCACCTAAACCAGCTGTTGAGATACTATCTGAAAAATTATACTATTAATTTCTGGAAGTTTAACACAAGGAGGAAGAGAAAGCAATCCAGAAACTACACAGACTAACAGCATTCATTCATTCCTTTTCTTTTATTGAGTTTTCCAAGGAATCTGCCATGGAACAACACCATCCAAGTTGGAGTATATTAGTATGCTACTGCTATTAAAAAAACAACAACGTGGAAAAGGACTAGTGGAATGAAGATGATGTTAGATTCTGATACATCTATCATGTTCATTTAGAGCCCTTATTATTACTGGACACTGGAATTACATGGTAAATTCAGTCATAGTTTATGCCTCAGCTAACAAAGACATTAACTGAAATAATGACAATAGAAGAATTGATTGGTGTGCATGTCTTCTTAAAAGCCAATCTGCATTAAATGGGCAGTGTTTCCTCACTGTCATGCAGGAATGACAGTGCCCTCTGTGCTACCTTAAACTTCAGGGTTTTCATGGTTTTTGAGTGCTGGTTGGCTTAGTTTTTTTTTCAGAAAATAAGACAAAGGTGAAAGCTCAATTTATAAATGTTAATTTAGAGCATGCTGTGTTTAAATTTTACACTTTAACAGAAAGTTATCGCCCTAAGTCCATGCCTCAATGTTTAACTGCAGCATTTTTATTCATTTATTTATTTTTTACCTCCCCCATAAGAGGAACTATTGTGAACCCACATACACTATAATCAAAAAATCAAGTCTTTACGCCACCAACGTTAAATTCACCTGTTATATTAATAGGCATGATCTGGCCTTAAGTGCATGCCACCATGACAGTGAAAATAAGAGGTTTTAATCAACTATGCTGTGGCTTAAACACCAATTTTCAGACATAACTCTACATCACTTAGGAATTTTTAACATATCTTAATACCTTAAAAATATACAAATCAAAATAAATTATTCTTATATATTTTTTTTTATATCAAAGACTCTTCAATCTCTTACAAAAAAAACAGTCCAGAGGTAAATATGTGTCATATCCCAACAGTCAAGAACTTTAAGTAATAGAAATTATTTCCAAGTAGTTTGCTTCTTTCAACACACAGTTTATTGCCTCTTCTTCATGTACTACTTAGCTCACAGAAAGAAGACAGACCGTTTTATTTCAGAAAAAAGTCTCTCGACAAAGTGGACAGGTGGATTTGTTGCTGGATGTGAACCATTTGTACTGAAAAAAAAAAATATGACAGCTTAGTAGATGAATGTAAGCAAAGTATCAAGAGCATTGTTTTGTCACTGGTAATAAGCATTACTAGTGAATGAAGAAAATTATCAAAACATTCATTTTACTTAACATAAAAAACAGTTAAAAAGCCCTTTTCCCTTACATATATACAAGCCTAAGTATTTGAATGTATGTGTATACGCATACACTGCACGTGCAGAAGTTTTATTCTAAAAACAAAAACCAAACACACGCACAAAGTAATTCCTGTCTATTCTAATTTTAGCCAAAAGTTATGTTTTCAAAGCAGCAGGAACTCCTCTCTTGTATGGCAATACAAGTGTCAATATGCTCCAGCATACTCAGTAACCATACGAAAATGCCTGTGACATCTTGGATATAGTTAATTATCCAGATTAGCAGGTCAGATGAGGAGCATGCTGTGTAAATTAATTTTTTCTCCTTCCTTATCCAAGCTGCTAACATCAAGATGCTCTTGCTACACCAAAGCCAGATATAATGGCTTAGATTTTAGGAAACACAAAAACTCTTCAGAGTAGAATTCCTCTCTCAGTGCATCTTAGCATAGAATTCATGCAAATTATTTTGAATTCACATAATCCCAGATATTCCAGCAACACAATGGAGAATTGATGGCACTGCAGTTGAAGTACCTTCCTCAAACTATTAAAGGATACTTTACCTATTTAGAAGGATTTAGTGTAGGTACTTACCAAGCAAGCTGAATGAAACTTTTTCTTGCATGTTCTGCAAGCTTTTTTGGGCAGAGAATAGTTGGAACCATGAATGACTGAAAAACAGATCATGCAATCTTCGATGCCCTCAAAACGTTTATCCACATTATTTTTCCACAGAGATAGGCCTTCCATAATACTTCCATTCTAACAGAAGAAAAAGTTATTACTATTACAGAATTCCTTCAGAATATTCTTACTGTTATACTTAAGTACATAAAGAAAATGAAACCTGAAGACTCTAAAATCAAGTTATTGGCAACGTGTAGTTAAGTAATTTACAAAACCAACATATGAACTATATGTACATAGTACCCATGCCTTATGAGATCTTATGATTCTCAGTTTTGGCTATGGATTTTTCAGGACTAACTATGCAGATAATTTTACCTCCCACTCTGTTTTAACATCTGGAGAAAAGCAGATGATAAGAGTAACCAATTCTATAAAGAAGTTTGTCATCTGAAGAGATGCATTATATAAATCTAAATAGTATATTACTAGGAACATTGTTGTATGTTTTCCAAACTAGAGGCTTTCTCTAAACTTACTTGATGTGTAAGATACGTGCTTAACTGCAGCATCCAGTTGCGCCATTGCTGAACAGCCACACCAACTCTCTTTCCACTCTCAACTGTTATAGACCCCAGTGGGTAATTTGTTGGAAGCTGTATTATTAGTTCAATAAATATATCATCAACTGAATAGGTAGCAATGACTTCCCGTGCAGCAGACCGAGCTTTTACCTATGAAAAAAATGCAAATATTAAAAATCTCTAAAATCAGAGACACACACCCTTCTCTAGCCTCTTTAAAATATAAGACCTGTAAGTACTACAAACATTAAATAATTTTATAAGACTAGGAAAACATTTTTCTCAAAAGAGAAAAAATCCACTCATATCATAGCAATCTAAGAAATTAACAGCCATTTTTCAATGTAATGGCTGATTATATTTTTTTAATGAACCAAAAAGTAGTATACTAACAGAAAAATCTTCCATTTACCTCTTTGACTTTTCCAACATTCATAAAACCCATTCTTTTTGAATTAATTCAAAACAGAATATTTGTAAACAGACACTTAGTATATCAATAGCAAGCTAAATTATGTTCTCATCAGCCATGTAGAAGATTAAAATGCAATCATGTAAACTACTGTAATAGTTAAGAAACAGTGTTTCTTTCACATTCTACAAAAAGCTAAATAAAAAAAGGAACAAGAGGTCTTACTAACCGTCATGCCATTAAATAGCTGTGTGCTGGTCTGAACAGAAGATATTTCCTGTGAAGAAAGCACACTGCTGACATACTTGCTTGTAAATTTATCCACAACATTGAAGACACGTTTCTCACAGCTATTCCACCAAAGCCTAACCATGGCTGGCAAGTCTTTCAGTGTTATATGATACACAGAACAAGCCAAATGCGGGATCTGGGATGACAGGGCTCCCGTCCCTGTGGGAGAAAAGAAAGGACATTAAAATACTCTAACATATTATTCACAAATGTTGGTTCTTCTACACCATGTACAAAACAAACAAACAAGAAAAAGCAAAACACCCAATATCAATATAAGTGTGGAAACTGAAATTGTTTACTTCTCTATTTCTTATTATAACTGCTTGTTTGAATAAACCTTTCTCCACGAGTCTTGTTTCTTTGTTTCTTGGAGTAACGCTTAATGGCTAGAAAAGCATCTTCTGATTTTAGAGGATAAACAGTAGGTAGAATACCCAAAATCCAAAAATCAAGACTAATTTTACATTCTGGAAATTACAAACTGCTTACTTTGGAGTGATATTTGAAGTACACTGGAAGTTTGCAGTGGTCTACAGAAGTGTACAAAAAGATCCAGTACTTGATCTAGACTCTGACAACCTGCCTGTGGCAGGGGGACTGGGACTTGATGATACTTGAGGTCCCTTCCAACACAAGTCATGCTGTGATTCTGTGATGAGGGAAATCTTTCTCTCAAAAAAAGTTGTGCTGTTAATTCCCCAAACAACCCCATTTCTGCTTTTCTGTCATCCAGATAAATGGCTTTGCAACATACAGTGATGTTCAAGCACAAGACTAAGAAATGATATCTCAGTATCTTTGTAGGTACATCAACAGATGTATCAACATCTATACAGGTACATTGAAAAAAACATTTTTAATGAAGCAACTTTCAAAACCATTTAGCTCTTCCATGTTTCTCAGTTAGAAGTAGTGGTAACTTACCATAACTGATCAACCAAGATTCTTCTGAAGACAGTGGTAAAAGCAAGACTGACAATTTAATGTTTCAAAAATTTTAAATATTTTAAAATTTATATTAAAATCCATTCTTGTTTTTACATATTCAAATAGAGAAAAAAAATCAATTTAGCATAAAAAAATAGAAACAATGAAGACATCCCATATCACGTATTTTCCTATTTTGGAATATTTGTGTCCATAGATAAAAAAATGCATCTGGTTTTGTTTCAATTCTTTTCCTGTTAAATATTTCAACTTCCTTTGAGCTTCAAATGGGGAATTATTGAAAAAAAAATAAATATATACTTGTGTTTATGTACACATGTACATCTATTTTACAGGTGATTTTTTTTTTTTTTTTTTAAGCCTGAAAGGTATCAAAACTCTCTCAAACACACAAATATAATTTTTACTAACCTTTGACATCTAAATGAAGCTCTTCAGTAAAGAATGTTTTTGTATCCTTATTTGGAACTTCTGAAGTCAGCCCAGAAAAGACAGGGTTTTCAGGCATAAGCCTGAACAAGTGATAAAGCAGTTTGTTCAAGCTTTTAGTTCTTCTAAGGTATTGTGAATAGAGAACTCGCAGCTGATGATGTTTGAACAAAGGAACAAACAACAACAAAAATAAGAAAAACAACACAAACAAGGTTGAGAATAAAAAGCTTACTCTGCAAATAATACAAATAAGTTTCTACATAGAGGAAAAGTTATTCTGAGATTCAGAATGAGTGTTTAAAAGAGTGATTTAGTTCTTAGTAACCTTTTGAATGACTTGAAGATCATAAAATGTCACAAGCTTGTTTAAAATCAGCTAAAAAAACCCATATTAATGAATTTTAAAATTTATTACTCTAATATTGCCATCCTCAACAGACATCTATTGATACTTTTGGAACAGAGTCCCAGTAAATCCAAAGGAAGTAGGACAATATACAATTAAAAGAAAGAGGCCAAATAAAATCTCAATACCCAAATCAAGTAAACATGCTATTTAAAAAAAAAAAAAAAAAAAAAAGAAGAAAGAAACTGAGCATATACCTGAGAAGAAGCCGCTTTGAAGAAAGTTAACGTCAACTTCCAAGTGAGAAGATATCCTAGAACAAGGCAGAACTCATCGCTCAGGGGCTGAATAACTGCAAACTCCCCAACTGGAATGCATTCTAAGATGTTTTCTAGCAAGAGCTCTTGCGTGGCAAGGACAGACATAAGAGCTGCTGGAGGTGATCTATGGAAAAATGTTATCTGGCATAGTAAACTGAAAACTTTAGCAAAGCATTATCTGAATTTATATTCACAACCTTCCAAGCATCCTTTAAATAAAGCAATGTATGTAGAACACACAAGGGGTCTTTTACTAGAGAAAAACTTACTTTCAGATTCCCACACCACTGATACATCTTAATAGTTCTTTCTCCTGTAAATAATAGTTTGTCTCTCTCCTTCTCAGCTGAAGGATATAAACTGAATTCTTTCCACATTCTGAAAAGATGAATTTGGGCTATGGCTGAGCTGATTTAAACTCCGCCATGGAAAACTTACATTTTTTCTTCAGTCAATTCACACCAACAATTGAGCAACTAATGTGATGGGTAGGGTTTTGGCAGTGAATTATAACACCTTTCACAGCTCTGTTAATCATTGAATTGTGGTAAATAAATAAAAACGATTATCCTATCCCCTATACTAATTTTTGACTTCTTCAGATTCAATCTATATAAAACATCGCCAATCTTGGACATCCTTAATTTGCTATGTGAATAAAAGGAATAATTGAGGAAGCTGAAGCTACTGGTGCAGCTAGAAATATTCTCAATACAGCAATGCAGTTTAAACATTGTGATTTTACAATAGAACAAATATCTAGTTATTTTAGTAACTGGATCCAGAAGACAATTACAAATATTGTTTCCAGTTTTAGTGAAAATACAGATGTAATCAAACATAGTTTAGATTTTCAATATTCATACCTCTTATTGTCATAAGCATGTCATTTTTTCACTTTAATAGCTTCTGAAAGACGACTATTGTGCTGTAATTCTCAACTCTTTAACAAATAACAACAGGGAAAACTATTAAAAAAGAAAGAAACATGAGGAAAAAATACATACAATGCTAATTCCTCCTCTTCATCACCATAAGACTTGAGATCTTCATCATCAAATTTAGGCAACTCAGGCATTAACCTATAGAAAAACGGAAAAGAAATTAGATTTAATTTTTAGTTATTTTTAATGTATCCAATACATAGCTTTCTAAGTATCAATGCCAATACAATGAGTAAAATCAAGCAATTACTTTTTTAATAACATCATGAAATCTTTAAGTTATGTCATCCAAATTGGTTCCTGAATGGCAATAGCCAAAGAGCATGTAAGCCTTGCTTAGTTCTCCAAACCTCCCAAACACCCAAATTCAAACTAAAGGAAACTTCTCCATCTCAGAACAAAGCTCTTACAACTTAATGCCTCAGTATTATGGTAGCTTCTTATGCTCCAGTCAGCTGCTTTGCTCCCTACATTTTGAACAGTCAAAGGCACATAGCAATCTTTAAATTCTATGTTTACTCTTTTTGTATTAGAGATATCAAAAAAGTTCACAAGAACACAACACACTTTTCTTTACTTTCGTCATTTTCATATCTAAATTAGTGAAAATAAGAAGGTCAGACTATTTAATGATGCTGTGGTTATCAAATCAAACCTGAAATGTTAGAGTTTACATTTCAGGATTTTAAGAGTATTAAAACAAGTGCTAAAAATAAATAACTTTACAGTTACAACAATACATACTTTACTGTGGCATAGAAAATAAAATTGCATTTTCATGTACTGCAGTAAAACTTCTTTGTATCTATTCAGTTCATTTTGACAATTATATTTAGCATTCATGGCTTTACATCATGTGTTCTAATCCAGAACACAAGTTGTCCAGTTAAGCATCTTTTTCTCCATAGTGGCATATCAATTTGCTAAACATTTAAGTGTCTGTTCTAGAGCATATTTTAAAAATCAATAAATAAGTGGAAAGGAAGTGAAGAGAGTGAGACTTCTGTTGATCTTACTTATACAACATATGGTAGACTGAAACCTGTACAGATCTAGCTCGGAAAAGCAGCAGTGGAGATAATGTATTTAACAGAGTCTGTAGATTATCTGGAAGATTTGTTTTCTGGCCTGCAACAAACTTTGCTGGTAGCTTATGGTTTAACAACTGGTCCTTCGAGATGTAAGTTAGAGCTTCACCCAAAGATGTTAACACGGAGTTCTGAAAAGAGCCTTCAGTTGCAGTTTTTGTTTCTCCTGTACAAAAAGGAGACAGGTAAGCTGTGATGCACAGTGTATGGAAACTATGACAAACGAGCATAACTAGTAACAATTCAGACTACAATCAAAAGAATCTACTTTAAATGCAAAACAATTACTTTATTATGTTAACATATTCCTATGAACTAAAAAATGTGGCCAATCAAGTTCTACTTCAGAATAGCCTGATTACGTACTGCCAATGGCATCCTTGCCAGCTACCATATACCCACCTGTGACTTTCACAAACAGAGGTAACAGCAAATTGTGAATTCCTTCAGAAAAGAATTCTTTCCATTCACTGACCAAATTCACAGGAAGGTTTTCAGTAGTCTTAGGAGCTGCAGGTTCAAAGTAAGCACTGAGGGCAGATGCCAGGTCACAACTGACACAGGCAAAAATCTGCACAAGTGGGACATGATAGAGTGAATGGTTTTCTGATGTTGTCTAGGAAGAAAAAAAAATAAGAGGAAAATTTCATAATAATATTTGGTTTAAAGTAGATGTTTTACATTCCTTCCCTA